GTAACAAATAACAAGTCCTTAGAAATATCATAATATGATCTGTAACAAATAACAAGTCCTTAGAAATATCATAATATGATCTGTAACAAATAACAAGTCCTTAGAAATATCATAATATGATTTGTAACTAATAACAAGTCCTTAGAAATATCATAATATGATCTGTACCCATCGTGAATTATTCGTGTTACTTAAGGTTATTTCAAAAAGCGTGAAGTAAGAAAATAAAGCAGTGATCATAATTATGGAAGTTTTGATCTTAATACTGATCTGAAACAAAATCTTAAAATCACGTTTTCCAGTGATGTTAATATTACGGTTCATATATATAAAAACACAGTTCGAAAGAAGATTTGTCTATAGAGCTTAACATCTGCCACTCTTGTAAAAACCATTGTTTGAATTCAGATACGTCAAATTTGAGCATTCGCCCCTCTTGGACAATAATTCAAATACAGTTCGATCTAAAGTTGAACATCTGCCCTTCTTGTAAGGACCATGGTTCGAACACAGTTCAATCTAAAGTCAGACAACAGACTCTAGTAAGGAAACATTTTCAAATGGAGCTCGATCTAAGGATAACTGTCTGTCCCTCTTAAGGACCATGGTTCGAACACAGTTCAATCTAAAGTCAGACAACAGTCTCTAGTAAGAAAAAATGTTCAAATGTTCAAGTAATTTATCCCGAACAAAATATTAACTCTATAAGGATTTGAATGTTTTTGGCCAATTTCAAATTTGTGAAATAAGTCATGCTTTTTGACAAGAAACTCTGATTTGTGTTGTCTTGTTGTCAAACGTACTTTTCGTAAGAATTTCAACAATTTACTAAAACCTTTGAAACTTAACCTAAATAAGCAACTATTGTCAATGGACTCAAGTCTGAAAGAAATCATATTCATAATGAATTTCAGTTGAAAAATGATCATTTACTACTTTAGGACTAATTTTTCTATTTATTATTTCTTTATATCTTTGGAGGTAAGAATGAATCAATGAATACTTGATTCTCACACAAAAGTGGAATAACTAATATTTGATGTTGCTAAAATGAATTACGGACTGCTTAATAAAAGGTCCGAGGCTCGAGACATTATACTGCTGAGCACGTGACGGCGGGTACTGCCGTTTGACTGCGTTCCATCTATTCAAGCCCCCTAGTGGACAGCGGTATGTCTGCGGACTTACAACGCTAGAATCCGGGTTTCGATACTCGTGGTGAGCACAGCACAGATAGACCATTGTGTAGCTTTGTGCGTAATTACACACAAACCGTCTATTGAGTAATTCAGATTTATACGCGAGCCCTAAAGTTGGCCCGTTCAGTTCCCAATTCGAGCAAGGTGTCAAGAAGTTGAAAAGTACAGTTTGATTAATCCTTTTTGTAATAAAGAACATTTGGTGTTCAGGATACACAACGTGTTCAAACGTTTTGATGTATACGACTTAAACATACATGTGTGAGTTTGTACACTTAACCTCGAACGAAGAGTTCAGAAAGTGGTGAAAAACAGATCTTATCTCTTTTAATATTAACTTACCCTCATCTGTCCAAAGAAAGGGATGTAAACGAACCCGAAGTGGAAACAGACTGATTTTCTATGCGTGTGAGAGTATCCAGACGTAAGTTTTGAAAATCATACAAAATATTAGTGTTTATTGAGATATATGTGGATGTTCTTACTACTTTGCGTGACAGGCTAGAAACGTTTTGATTGGCTATATTTCTGCCCTATTACTTATGTGTCTGTCGTAAACTTAGCGCTAGTATATTATTGGCCCTCGCTGGTTCAACGGTAAGCTTATAACGCTAAAAATAGGGTTTCGATACTTCATTTAACATTATTACCTAAGTTTTGGAGAAAAACAAAAATCGTTTTAAAGACTGTTTGCAATAAAACGCGCATTCATAATCTCTGCGCATAAGTAGGTTTCGGTTTCCTTTTCTCCTTCTCTTAATGACTATAGAGATAGAAGAACCTGACTCAATTTTGTTCAACCGATAATTTCTTTACTGAAGTATCGATCAGTAACAGTAGCTTCTGTTTCGCGGTAAATTAGTTCAATGCGCTCCACGCATGCTCTAATGTACGTACTCTTACTTCGCAGCTGTAAAACAAAAGCCATTGTCTAAACAAAGACTTCGTGAGAGAATGAAGCCTTTCGAATTTTTCTTATTGTAACTACTTAAAAGTTACGTAGCACGCCATCTTCCGGTAAACTAAAATAATGCTGTATATTCTTTGATGGAAACATGGCAACGTCTGATTTATTTGTGTATTATATTCCAGCATGTAAAGACGTGATATTCCATGAATATAGTACTTGATTGTTTCGTAAAAAAAGAAAGAGAAAAAAAAAAGTTTTATTTCTCGGGTGATAATTATCATTATGTGGTATGTTTTACGTCCAGTTTTATAAGGCTTGTAACATGACTACTACTGTTTATGTGTTCTGTGTGACAGTTAACATTATGTGGTATATTTTACGTCCAGTTTTATAAGGCTTGTAACATGACTACTACTGTTTATGTGTTCTGTGTGACAGTTAACATTATGTGGTTTACTTTACGTCCAGAGAACACATAAACAGTAGTAGTCATGTTACAAGCCTTATAAAAGTGTGACAGTTAACATTATGTGGTATGTTTTACGTCCAGTTTTATAAGGCTTGTAACATGACTACTACTGTCTGTGAAATTTTCTTTATAACTTGTGTTGTGTTTTAAACTCCGTGTTTTCACTATGTTACATTTTTTGCTTACAATAATTAATACTTGTCATGTTTCCCAGGGGAGGTCAGTGAATCTACGGACAGTCGGGCAGAAATAGCTGTGCAGACACTTACTAAGATGGCTTCGAACCCTGAATGTTTAAGTTCCGTTCTGACAGGATTGCAGCTCCAAATCTCAGCAATAGTGGAGATGGCCGAGAAGGTAACTGGAGGGCTGCTACACAAACCAGTGTCAGAATTGCTGACCCAAGTGTTGCTGGTGAGGAAAGACAAAACACGTCTTGAATTATGTTACAAACCCAGGAACTGAAGAAAATGTGTGCTTTCAGTATCAGTTTTATGTCAGTACTAGTATTTGTTAAACAAAGTTGTTATTAATATTCGACTAACTGTCTCTATCAGTACTAGTATTTGTTAAACAATGTTGTTATTAATATTTGACTGTCTTCATCAGTACTAGTATTTGTTAAACAAAGTTGTTATTAATATTCGACTAACTGTCTCTATCAGTACTAGTATTTGTTAAACAAAGTTGTTATTAATATTCGACTAACTGTCTTCATCAGTACTAGTATTTGTTAAACAAAGTTGTTATTAATATTTGACTGTCTTCATCAGTACTAGTATTTGTTAAACAAAGTTGTTATTAATATTTGACTAACTGTCTCTATCAGTACTAGTATTTGTTAAACAAAGTTGTTATTAATATTCGACTAACTGTCTCTATCAATACTAGTATTTGTTAAACAAAGTTGTTATTAATATTTGACTAACTGTCTTCATCAGTACTAGTATTTGTTAAACAAAGTTGTTATTAATATTAATTAACTGTCTCTACAATGAATATTTGTTCATATAAACTAATTAGTAATCAATAGTTGAGAAAAATAATAATTAGGCTTAGATGATCATTTAATTTAATGAATATGTAAATGATATAAATACGACTACCACAACCTGACCTCATGTAGTTGATTTTCTCAGATAGGATCTGCTATGATTGTTTTATTTGGTTTGCTATTGTTTCTCTTTGAGAGCTAAATTTCTAGAGTTGCAAACAAAGAGTGTGTTTTAATCATGATTAATTTGAAGTTCTACTTTAGTAGGTGAATGTTTTGGTTCGCTCATGCTAGGTTTGTGAAAATTGTTTCGTGTGTTTCTCTTATTTACCAAGTTCTGATAATTGTTTTCAGTATTATCTGATAGAGTTCTGTGTAGGGTCGGGTCTGATAAAAATGGAGACGTTTCAGAATTCTGTGTAGGGTTTGGTCTGATAAGAATAGAAATCTTTTAGAATTCTAAGTGGGTGGGGGGGGGGGGGTTGGTTTGATAAAAATGGAGATGCTTCAGAATTCTGTGTAGGGTTTGGTCTGATAAGAATAGAAATCTTTTAGAATTCCGTGTAGGGTTGGGTCTGATAAGAATGGAGACGCTTCAGAATTCTGTGTAGAATTGGGTCTGATAAGAATAGAAATCTTTTAGAAATCTAAGTGGGGGTTTGGTTTGATAAAAATGGAGACGCTTCAGAATTCCGTGTAGGGTCTGGATCTGATAAGAATGGAGACCCTTCAGAATTCCGTGTAGGGTTGGTCTGATAAAAATGGAGACGCTTCAGAATTCCGTGTAAGGTCTGGATCTGATAAGAATGGAGACCTTTCAGAATTCCGTGTAGGGTTTGGGTCTGATAAGAATGGAAACCCTTCAGAATTCCGTGTAGGGTTGGTCTGGTAAGAGTGGAGACCCTTCAGAATTCCGTGTAGGGTTGGTCTGATAAAAATGGAGACGCTTCAGAATTCCGTGTACGGTTGGGTCTGATAAGAGTGGAGACCCTTCAAAATTCCGTGTAGGGTTGGTCTGATAAAAATGGAGACCCTTCAGAATTCCGTGTAGGGTTGGGTCTGATAAAAAATGGAGACGCATCAGAGTCTGATAAAAATGTATGTGCTTGAGATCCTGTATAGGATCGGGACCAATATGAACGAGAGATGCTTGGGATTCATATTGGTCCCGATCCTATACAGAACGGAGATGCTTGGGATTCTGTATAGGATCGGGACCAATATGAACGGAGATGCTTGAGAATTTGGCCTTGCATGGGCTGGTGGTTAGGGCGCTCGACTTCCAATTTACTGGTTGCGGGCTCGTATCCCGTCGCCGAACATGCTTTTCCTTTCAGTCGTGGGGGCGTTATGATGTGAAAGTCAATCCAATCACTTGTTGGTAAATGTGTAGCCCAAGAGTTGGCGATGGGTAATGTTTACTAGCTGCCTTCCCTCTAGTCCTTCACTGCTAATTTAGGGACGGCTAGTGTAGGTAGCCATCGTGTAGCTTTGCGTGAAATTCAAAACAAACCAAATCAAAGCTTGAGGATTCTTCTACGTAGCGTCGAGTATGATAAGGGCTGTTTACTCAGATCTGACAGTTTTAGGTTGTGGGAGCGAAGGTTGGGTTAACTGGGTTTCCAGTCGTGGTTGGGCTGATTTTGTTTGATATCTAGGTCGAAGTTTTTTTGTTTTGATTTTTGAAGTGATTATGAATTTTACAGGATTTTAGAGGATTGAGTTCGTAGGGTAAAAATAGGTATTTATGAAGTTTGGAGAAATAGCAATTAAATCCACTTCATTTGTGGTCAACTGGAGAAATCCACTGGGTATTTAGCCAATGATTAGAAAGTTTAATTGATTAGATACGAATGTTATTTGCTGCTGAAAGCGTGAGATAATGGTCAGCTTTGCTGGACTATAGAACCAAGGATCCGTAGATCACGTCCTGTTGCCACAAAATCACCCCTTGGCACCTTTTCATTTGTCAGTGGGTGCCGTTGGCTAATTGCTTTCGCTTTAGTAGAATCATTTCAATAGCCACTAAACGGTTTAAATGTCACTAAATTTGGGTTGTTACTGCCACTGGACACTCAAGATTCAAGGTCAAGGTTACTTAGTGTACTGGTCTACATGGACAGTGGAAGGTCTACATGGTCAGTGTACAGGTCTACATGGTCAGTGGCAGGTCTACATGGTCAGTGTACAGGTCTACATGGTCAGTGGCAGGTATACATGGTCAGTGGCAGGTCTACATGAGTCAGTGTACAGGTCTACATGGTCAGTGGCAGGTCTACATGGTCAGTGTACAGGTCTACATGGTCACTGTACAGGTCTACATGGTCTGTGGCAGGTCTACATGGTCAGTGTACAGGTCTACATGGTCAGTGGCAGGTCTACTTGGTCGATGTACAGGTCTACGTGGTCAGTGGCAGGTCTACGTGATCAGTGTACAGGTCTACATGGTCAGTGGCAGGTATACATGGTCAGTGTACAGGTCTACATGGTCAGTGTACAGGTCTACATGGTCAGTGGCAGGTCTACATGGTCAGTGGCAGGTCTACATGGTCAGTGGC